TTAAATCACTTTGTAAAGTTTATATGTATTAATGAAGAAAGCCAGCAAAGATAACATGTTATTTTACCATTACTTTGCTCACTTTCCTTTTTCTTTGCTTTGTTAATATTATCACATGGTATCAGAGCCATCCTAGTTCTTAGAAAGGGACCGCAAAAAGAAGGAATAAGAACTGAAGTAACAAAAAAAGGGGAAGCCATCAGCAGAGAAAATAGAGTTGACAGAAAATAGGATGGCATCAACTGGCTTTTCAACACCTCTACCCTCAACCTTCAATGGAGAAAATTACAACTTCTGGGCTACAAAGATAAAGCTTATCTCAAGGCTTATGACATTTGGGAGATAACCAAGACAGGCATTGAACCTCCACCATTGAGAGCTAACCCCACGATTGCTCAAATCAAACAACACGGTAAAGATGTTGCCAAGAAGTTCACAGCTCTATCCTATGTTCAGTCTGCTATTTCAGATGCTATTTTCACAAGGATAATGACTTGTGAAACGGAAAAAGAAGCCTGGGATAGACTCAAGGAGAAATTCCAAGGAAATGAGAGAACTAGACAGATGCAAGTGCTCAACTTGAGAAGGGAGTTTGAAACCTTGAAAATGAAGGAAACTGAGGTGGTAAAGGACCTTGCAGACAGGTTGTTGAAGGTTGTAAATCAGATTAAGCTGTTAGGAGACGATTTTCCAAACAAAAGAGTGGTGGAGAAGGTTCTGATCAGCTTACCTGAGAAGTTTAAAGCCAAGATATCATCACTTGAGGATTCAAGAGATCCGTCATCAATTACTTTGGCTGAACTGGTTAATACCCTTCAAGCAACAGAGCAAAGAATGTTGATGAGGCAAGAAGAACAAGTTGAAAGATCCTTGTTTGTTAAATTTGGAATGAAGAAGGTTCTGACTGAGAAGAAGGAACCTGAAGGCAGCAAAACTTGCAACAAAGACGATAAATTTACATATTGTCCTCATTGTAAACGGAATGGGCATTCTCCAAAATGTTGTTGGTATAGGCGTGGTGTCCAGTGTAGAAGTTGCAAGCAATTTGGCCATGTTGAAAAGGTGTGCAAAACTATAAAAGGGAAACAAACACAGCAGCAAGCTCAGGTTGCAGAGAATCAGCAAGATCTGCAGGAGGAACACCTATTTACAACTATTCTGGCCAATGACAAATGAGGAAATTGGTTGCTAGATACTGACTGTACACACCACATGACAGCAAACTCAAGTATCTTTGTTGAATTGAACAAGGCCTACTCATCTAAGGTGAAGGTTGGTAATGGAGACTATGTTGATGTGAAGGGGATTGAAGTAATTGAAGTGCAGACATCTGCAGGTATTAAACACATAGCTGGTATTCTTTATGTGCTTGAGATTGATCAAAATCTAATTAGTGTAGGGAAATTACTTGAAAAGAACCATACACTTATATTTAAGGAAAATGCCTACACAATACTGGATAAAACTGGAAGTGAAGTAATGACGGTTGAAATGAAGAATATAAATTTTCCTATTGATTGGAAAAATATCACCACACAAGCATTCACTTTTGTCTTGGATAATTCTATCTTATGGCATAAAAGGTTTGTCCATGTTAATAACAATTCCTTGAGGCAAATAAATGAGTTTAGTTTGGTAGAAAATTTGCCTAAAATCAAGGATGAATTGTGTATGTGTGTGATGTTTGCCAACTTGGGAACGAATCGGGCTACCATTTCCAAAAAATCAGTCAAGGAAGGCCACAACTAAGCTTGAATTGGTGCATTCAGACATTTGTGGACCAATAAGGATCACCACCTTGAATGGCAGCAGGTACTTCATCATCTTCATTGATGATTTTTCTAGAATGTGTTGGGTTTATTTTTTAAAAGCTAAGTCTGAGGCTGCAGCTATGTTCCAAACATTCAAAAACATGGTAGAGAATGAAAGTGGATGCAATATAAAGGCAATAAGGACTGATAATGGATCTGAGTACAGCTGTAGGCAATTTGATGACTTCTGTAAGGCTGAAGGTGTTAAGCACCAATTAACCATTTCTTATTCCCCTTAGCAGAATGGAGTGAGTGAAAGGAAAAAAAAAACGGTGATGGAGATGGCCAGGTGCTTATTGATTGAGAAGAAAGTACCCAAGGAGTCCTCAGTAGAGGCAGTCAACATAGCAATCTATCACCTTAACTGTCTACCAAGAAAATCTTCGGAAAAAAAAGACACCTTATGAGGCTTGGTATGATGCAAAACCAGAAGTCTGACATTTAAAGGTGTTTGGGAGTGTTTGTTACACTCATGTTCCTGTTGCAAAGAGGGACAAACTCAGTGATAAAGCAAAAGTTGGAATACTTGTTGGGTATTGTAATAATGCCAAAGGTTATAATGTCTTCAATCCTCAGTCAAAAAAAGATAATCTCCAGTAGAGAAATTAAAGTGGATGAAAATGCCACATGGAATTGGGATGCAAACTTTGTAGTTAAAGAGAAAACCAGTAATGTGATTCCTCATAACAGAGATGAAGAG